TACAAGAGCATGCTGGACGTGCACTGCGGCAAAGTACTGTAAGTCGGCCAAACAGGGAGTCTTGTTTCAGCTCCGTCTAATAGCATTATCAGACCGGTTGAATACATGACATTGCCTAGTGGTCTCTCCGACTGCATAGGCCATGGTGCAGATTCGCAGTCCCGCTACAAAATGGGTTCATGAACGGCACCGAGCCTCACCCTGTATATGTCACCAGATTCGGTCAGGCTGGGTAGATCGCATGTTTAGAGTATGTCTCGTATTGGCGGGCGGCCCGACAAAACCTCGTATGTGTGTAGTCTAGAGGCTAGGTCAAACTCCAGCAGGCAACCTAAAACGTGAAAGGTATGGAGATTACATCACACTGCATGGAAACCATAGCGCACGCTACGATACAAGATCTAAAGATTTGCGCGAAAGAGAGCACGAGCACTCCCCAACACACCTAGCGCGAGTGCGCACACCGCACGCTACTCCGGGGCTACTCCTCCGCGACACTTACTTGGAGGTCTTCTGGAATGCGTTGCTCGGCCATTCCCGCGTCTTCCCCTCCCACCCCGCTCATAGCTGCCAATCCGAAGCGCGTCGCGCCGCCTGCGTGCACTGCTGCTGCTCGTCGTATGTCTATGCTTTTCTATGCCGTCTATATGAGGGAAGCGGACCCTCCTTTGCCGGCATTGAACCAGAACCGAACCAAGAAACTTCCTCAGAATATTCTTTTCCGACAAAGTCGTAAGCGCTACTGAATATTTTCGTGATTTTTTTCTCTGCCGGCGAACAATGCGAGCGAGGGAGACGAAACAGGTGATGCACTGGACAAACATATGTCGTTCACGAACATGGCCAAAGGATGCAAACGGAATCTCCAACCAACTCACCGGCTTGTTTGTTGCTGCGGCCCAGCAGTTGACGATGTTCCTGTGCATTGTGTTCGCCGCCGCCCTCGCTTCCTTGGCCATGCGCTTGCCCTTTTTCTGTGCGGGCCTAGGAGTCTCCACCACCTGCGACCCACCAACCTTCTCCGACCGTGGTGCTCCGTCTCGCAAAAGGTCTGCAACTTTTGCATCTAGTAGCTGCTCTCGGTAGTCTTCCGCCGTAAACATGCCGCTGGACAGCAAGTTGGCCATGCGATGGGCTTGTTGGCCATCACGTGCTTTTGATGGGATTTTTGTGGCTGCTCTCCTTGATGTAGCCGGCATCAACAAACTTCGACAACCTCTCGAGGTTGCCGATGGATGCGTCTGAAAGCGGCATTGCCTCCCGTGTGCATGAAAGACACGAGTTTTTTTGTGAGCGGTGGCGGCGCTTCTGGGGGGTCCGCCGACGCGGTCTCAACAATATCATACCCTAGCAAGCCCAATCCAATGCGTGTGATACAGGACAACGAGGACGCCACTACGCCCACGCACCAGCTGGTGTCCCGAAATGTAGTCAACCTTCAGACGTCCCACCGGCGCCGACACATCATCTGGGGTGACATGAAACGGCGGACATTTATCTCCGAAAGAATGCAAAACATAGCGAGAGAGTTCTGCAGGCATGGACCTTGGCCGATCGTCCGTCTCATACGGGTTGGGCGAATCGTAGCAGCCGTGTTGTACACCCAAGCCCACGCTCCAACAGTAAACTTCGGAATCTTGTTGATGGCGTCCAGCATGGATGAATTGCGGCGTTCGACTCTC